ACACACATGTTACAACAAAGCTCAGGATTCATCGTCTTCTTAGGGTTCATATATTAATAAGGGAAATAGAGGGAGTATTTGCCATGTTAAGCTGCCCCTGTAATTCTTATTGCTCCACCCCTCTTCCTTCACTGCCTTATGGACCCTCAGGATTACAAGCCACCTGAGGCAGCAAATCTGCCTCTCACATGAACATATGTACAGCAAAGTGCTGCTCAGAGTATAGAGTCTGGGCTGGGAAGTGAAAGCAGTGCTGCTTTCCAGCCACAATTACTGATCCATTTTGGGTTAGTGTGGATGGTTACGATCCCGTAAGTGAAATTGAGGGGTGGGGGTTGCATCTTGGATAACTTTCCCTGTGGGAAGTCTTCTCTGGACTCACTAATATAATTGCTATTTCTCTGTTCTCTGCTCATAATCCTGCAAGGCAGCCATGCACTGAGCAGGTACATGGAAATTCACCCATGTTTTTTTGCTATAATTACAACTATGTCACCTTGGCTCCAAAATAGACTCTGAAACTGTCCCTGGTGTATTTAGTTTGTATTTGACAAAATAGGAACATTAGATCATCTACATTCATTCGCATATCTCACTTAAAACATGATATCTGACAGTCCTAGCTTTTACTTTTCACATTTCTTCATGTCACAGCCAAGAAGAACAAAACCCTTGAACTGAGAGGCTGTCAAGATCTTTGATGCATTTAGTATGCTCAAGGGCTGAACCAAGCTGGACCCAAGAACGTGTGCTGGGCTAGATTTCTTTTTGGCTCTGATAAGCTCAGACTTTGGCAGACGTGTGTAAAGATTTCCTGGACTCCAGACAAGCCCAATCTGCAGCAATACACAAAATGTATGGGCATCTGCACGGGTGTTGTGTGTATGTGCCTGTGTGGCAGGGATGACGGACAATAAACCCAGCTCTGTGTGCCAGGCTCCCTGTTAATAAGAAGCCATGGGGTGATGGATGGGCTTGAGAAGGCCTGGAGCAGAATGGATGGGGTAGGCTCTGTGGTGGCTGACATGCAGAGAGCTGGCTGGAGCCATGAGGATGGCATTGTGCAGATAAATGAGATTTGACTTCCCTGCTGGGTCTCTTTCCATCTGTTTTTCTGTTTCTGGAGGCAAATGCTAGGAAGGTTCATAAACAATCTGCCAAGAGATTTTCCCATTTCTAAAAGCTCAATCCCAGCTTTCTAGGGTTTCCCAAAGCAGGCAGGTAATATTTGCCCTTTTCTTTTCCTCTCCAGGGCAAAAGTATTAACATTTTTATTCTTTTAAGCATTTCCTGTATATTAGATTTGTAAAGAATTTCAATTGTTTTTGCAGTTGTCCTAGACATCCTTGGGATGACAGAACAGTTCCCTGCTCACAGATCTTCAGTCCTTTTGTGTTCTTTTTCAGAGCTGCCCTGTTTTTAGGTTTCCTGCTTCCACCATCACCATTCCTCCCTATCTTTCCTTTCATACTTAAAGGACTCCAAAGTTTCTTTGTCCCTCCTGACTGTGATGCAAGACATTTCCTCTCTCCAGATATTCAGGCTACCTGAACACCCCCCCCAGCTTTGCCCTTTGAAACATCTGGTTCCTTTACCTGTGCTGTTTTCTCTCACTTTTGCTATTCCCAGACAGCACTCCAGAATAGAAAGGGCCAAATTCAGTAATATACCAATTGCATTAATGGCAGGAGAGATAAGACATAAGGATCCAGGCTTGCAAGGTATTAAGTAGTAGTTGAAGTTACCCCTGTGCCTTCACAAAGCCTCTCCCTGGGGCAATTTGTATCCAGTGACCACTTGAAACTTGATTCATTCAGCATTAGTTGTATGGCTGGAGCTGGGACTGCCCTCACCCATCAGCTCTGGCTGACAGCCTGTGGTCTACTCTATTGTAAATGCAGGCAAACCCAACGGGAAGAAATGACTCAGTTCAGAAGGCTGAATTATTTCTTTATTATAACTGTTAAATACATTAATATACTATATAAAAGGAGGATACTAAAACTGCATACTACTTTCTCTGACCCTATCTCTAACTCTCTCCCAACTCGTGACCCTCTCTTGAGATTCCAGCCCCAGGTGGACTCTTGGATTGGCCATCAGGCTCAAACAATCCTCACCAGAATCCAATCAAGCAATCACTCCAGGTAAACAATTCTCCACACACATTCCACATAGGAAAAACAAGGAGCAGAAATAGAAATTGTTTTCTTTTCTATTTCTCTCTGTGCACCTCTATAAAAAATCCTGAGAGGGAGAGAAATGTGCTTGCCACACTACTCTCCTGATCAGTACAGAAATCATCTGCTCACACAGCACAACCCAGGGAACTCCCTCTCCTGCAGCCTGGGTTTGTGAGCTGCCCGAGTCCCTGCTGAGCTCCAGCATCCCCATTTTGGTCGACACTGGACACCTTCAAGTCAATACATGCCCCTAGCCACAGCTGTGCCACTCTTTCTCCTGAGCCTAGCCCTGCCCTGAGAGCTGCCCAGCACATCTGCCAGGGACGGGTCAGCCCAGCAAGTCACTGCACTGAAGGGTGAGAGGAGCCCGTGGATGAATTTGCAGGACCTCTGCTCTGCTTCCCTCTGGACTCCACGGTGTGGCTGACACAGCCATCACTCTGCTACCCAATAAAGAGACTAAAACTGCAATGAGCCTGAGATTCACATCCAGGATATAGCTGCTTGCTGTCAGCATGGCAGAGAAGACTTCAGTTTCATGTGCAATGCCAGGTGACAAATGGGACACAATCAATAGGAAAGGTCATTGCTCACCCAGCTGGAAAGTACTCGCCAGTGTTACAGGGAAGAATGGGGCAGATTTGCCCTGATCTTCTCTGGGAGGGACACATGGATGTGTCTCCACTGGCAAAACGGTTAGGCTGTGCTTTCAACATTCTTCCTTGCATTACATTCTCACTTTGAACCATTTGTATAGAATTAATGCCTCCTTCTTCAAGGGAGAGGACTTGGGAATACAAAACCACTTCCATTAAACCTCCCAGCTGACAGAAAACTTCAGGTGCGAATTAGATAAGTGTCACTTAAATTCTATGTGATTAATTACTAGCTGCAATAAGCCATTAACTGATGCCAAGCTGATTTAATTCAGAAATGAGACCACACTTTTATCAACAGAGGAAGAACACACAACAAGCCGCGGGTAGCCAGGGGCTCTGCACGGCAGCACAATGACTCGGTGGGAAAAGCTTCCGTCACCTCTGGCTCGGAGCCGGGACGTCCCCCCGGGGTTCGCGGGGGACTCAGGCCCTGAGAAAGGGACGGTGCCTCTGTCCGAGGCGACTTTGCTTCTGGGGAGGAATCTCGCAGGAGTGACCCACGGCGGGCGGTGAGTCCCGGAGCCCGTCCCGCACATCCCTGCGGGGCACACGGCGCGGGGCACGGAGGAGCTGCGGGGCAGCCCCGCGGCGGGAGCGGTACAGTCCCGGTCCCCAGCACGGGTGACAATGGGTCTGGCCGAAAGCCCCGCGCCCCGGCACCGGCTCTGTCCGAGCTCTCTGCCCGCTCGCACCGCCGTAAGCGGAGCTCCGCGCGCATCCCGGCGGCGGCAGGAGCGGGGATCCCCCTCAGTCCATGTCTTTGTCTCCTCCGGGGCGCACGGAAAGTGGGAAGGGGTTGCCCACTCCTGCCCGGTCCCCGCGGCAGCAGAGGGGAACCGGCTCGGCGGAGCATCCCCGGGCGGGGCGGGCGCGGCGCGGGCACCGGGCAGCGCTGCCTGCCTTACCTGTGCGGAGGTGCCGGTCCGGCGGAGCCCGGCAGGCGGGGCAGGGCAGGACAGAGCTGTGCGAGCGGCGGAGGGGAGGCAGGTCTGCGGGGGGCAAGGGGTGTTCAAACCCGAAAGGAGAGGAGGAGAGGAGGAGGAGGAGGAGGAAGAGGAGGAGGAGACAGGGGAAGGCAGTGGGGGAATGTGGAGAGGAATCGGGGACAGGGGGAATCCCGGGGGACTGGGTGCATGGTGCCGGAGGAGGTGGGGCTGGGAGGGGCTCTGGGCGTGCGGGGGTCGCAGGGGGAGTGCGGGGGCATGGCGGGGAGCGGGGCTGCCCGGCGCTCAGGAGGAGGTGGGTGCGAGAGCGCAGCAGCGGTGCCTGCCCCGCACACACACGGGACAGACAAAGACCGGAGACAAAGGCGTGGCAGCCCGGAGGGGCGGGGAGCGGGTGAGCCCCGGTGAGCCCCGGTGAGCCGGTGGCAGCCCGGTGGGGCGGGATCCGCTGTCCCGCGGGGCTCCCCCGCGTTACGGTCATGCCGGTGGCTCAGCGTGCCCCGCTCCCTGCAGGGAGCCCCGGCCCCGCCGTGCCGGGTGTGAAAAATGCATATTTTATGGATGGCTTTTCGCAAATATTACAATGAACGTTATATGCGTAATGTTAGAAAGTTATGTTGTATTAATTCCCTTAAGTAGTGTGTTAAATACAGTTTTAGGTTCCAACATGATGTTAAAATAGAGACTATGTATGTGGGGGAAGTTTTTTGTTTTTTTTAGGAATGAGATACTCGCTTCGAGGAACACCTAAATCTTCCAAAGGAGAGGAATTTATGGGTTCTTATCAGAAGAAACTAATTTCTTCAGGCCTTGCTCAGACTCGAATATGCCATGGGGATTAAAGGAAACAGTTGACATACAAGAGACAGTTTCTTGTTCTAAATAGAATGTATGCATAACCATGAAGGATTATGAATATGCAACAGTGTATTGTTTTAAGGGCGATTCCTTTGTTCACAAGACATGCTTTTCGCGACTTAGTGTCCGACAGCATCCGGACGTCCGTAATTCTTTGCTTTTTATTGTCTTGTAACTGTCCTAACTCTAAACTTTATCACTCTAATTGCACCGTTATTATTATAACCATTTTATTATTATTAAACTTTTAAAACTTTAAAAACCAGCTGATTGCCGTTTGTCGCGCCGGGGGAGCGGCGGCCGCGCCGGGTCCCCGCGGGTCCTCCCGGCCGCCGGGGGGCGCTCGCCGCCGCCGCCGTGACGTCACCGGCGGGCGCTGGCTCCGCTTCCCGCGCCGGGCGCCGTGAGGGGCGGCGGGGCCGGTAGGGAGCGGGGCAGCGGGCGGGCAGGGACGGGACACCGGGCGGACACCGGGCCGGGGGGACGCGGGGACAGGTGTCCTGGGTGTCCTGGGTGTCCTGGGCCCTCGTTGCGGGATGAGCGGTGGAGAACGGGCGGGTCCCGGGCTGGGAGTGCTGAGGGAAGGCAGTGCCGTGCGTTGGGAGGGAGCGGGGCGCTCAAAGGATGTGTCTTCCCCCCCCTGTTATAAATGAAAATTTATTCAGTCAAATTAAAAATAAAAATAAGTTTTATTAGCGGGAAAATTCTATCTGGCTAGCCACGGAAAAAAAACAACACAGTGCCGAGCCCGGGATCAACATTGGGTGTATGACAAGGAGTCAGCCTCAGGAGAGGTTTTCCCCTGTGCCCACACACCTCCATCCTGGCACAAGCGGTTTTTATGGGGAAAATTCCGCCCGAGGCCAAGATTTCAGCAATCAGTCTTTTCTTCCATTCAGAGTCCATAGGTTAATAAGATTTTCTTTTTTGGTGATGAGGAAGAACAATTCAGTGTCCGGAGTTGTTGAATCCCTTGATGAAATTTACGGGACGCTGCATTCACATGTATGTGCCCGAGGATTTCCATGATATCCATCTCGGGTCCTTCACGCGATGATCAGCGCCTGGGCTGTATCCCCTCAGACATGTCCCATCTCCTGGCCGAGCCACATCCTTTTACTTGTAAATCGGGTTTTAACATACACCAGGTTTCACCTGCGAGGGTGGGGAGGGGCTTCTAATACAAGCGAGCATAATCTATCAAGTATCCAATATTAGATATTTCATACAAGGAATGGTGTGAATTATGTTTCCTACACATAACACCCCCATCTTCCCTCCCTGCTGCTCGGAGACACCGACAGGGCGGTGACTGGGAGCCTGCAGGGCACGTCCGGGCTGCTCTGGGCTTGGGCAGGAGCTCTGGTGTAGCCACGGGGAGGGTGGTGGGCTCCACTTATTACAACAAATGCCCCATCCCCAGAAATGTCCAGGGCCGGGTTGGATGGGTTTGTATCAGCCTGCGATAGTGGAGGGTGGCCCTGCCTCTGGCAGGGTGTTGTAATAAAAAGAGCTTTAAGGTCCCTTCCATCCCAAACTGTTCTGTGATTCCATGACCTCCCAGCCTGCACACTCCTTGAGTGTGTAGTGCCTGGTTCCTTCTTTGTGACTGTGTGGAAGAGTGGATCCCTTGGGTTTCTTGGGCCTCTCTTTAAGAAGGAATGAAGTTTAAGTGAGAATGTGAACCTAAACCTCTAAAAACGGTTTATTATACTCTGTAGACTTTTTGTATTAATTTGAGAGCCATTGTGGCTGGGGTGCTAGAGAGATGCTTAACTATCTTAATTTTATTTAGTGTAGCAGTTCACTAATATTCCAGGAAATCCTTGTACACAGTTATATTTATATAACTCTGTTTTTAAAAGTGGGGATGAAAGTAGCTCCCTGTTTTCTGCAGGTTGAACCAATTCTTCGTAGGTCTGAAAAACAGCTTGAAAATCAGTGTCTAAAGAGCTTATTGGAACATCTGTGGTTTGTCAAAAGTCTTTGTAGAACACCTGAGTTACTGGTGGAGCCAGGGTGCTCCAGAGGCATATGAAGACCTCTACAGTTCACGAATGGTGCTGCTGTTGATGGTTAGAGTTTGTTGGCTTGCAGAGAGTGTGGATAAAATAATTAAACAAAAAGTTTCTAATAGGTAAGTATGTACACTGTGGCTTAAATTGTGTAAGGCATGGAGTCTGCTACTGCAGGGAAAGCTGTTGGGAAGCTGAACTCCAGCATCTGCTGTTCAATTTGTCACAATAACGTGCTGCCCTTTGTTGCTCACAAACTTCAGACTCCCCAGGAACGTAGTCACAGCCCAAGCCTGCCAGAGTTCAAGGAGCAGCTGAATGATGCTCTAAGTCACACACTTTTTAGGTGGTCGCGTGAGGAGCGGGGAGTTGAACTCCATGATCCTTATAAGTGCCTTCCAACCTGAGGAATTCCACAATCCTGTGTCACGAAGTTGACTTAATTATGCAGCTCTGCAGGGTTTGGGTTCCTTGCAGAAGGAAACTCAGAAGTTGTTGGCAGTGGCAGCAGATGAGAACCTCTGTGATGGTGTGTCAGTGGAAGATGCAGCTCCAAGCTTGGACAAGCAGTGGTTCATGGTGGTATCAGAATAAACCCAAAACCCCGAGAAGTTCTTGTGTTATAGTAAGAGATAGGGCTTAGAAAAGGCAAGTACTATGAAGCTTTAAAACAACAGTGTTTCTTGTGTTACTAAAAAGTATTTGTCTGAACTTTCCTGTATTCCAAAAAGTAAGAGAGACTGGAAACCCCAGGAATTAAATTATTAATAATCTCTCATCCTGAGGTGCGAGCACTGGTTTGTGCACTGCTGGTAATCCCTGAGGACGTGCTGTGCTTATGGGGGGTGCTCACACCTTTCACTGTGGGCTTGCAAGGTCTTCTGGTGTACAGCTCCATGAACTGACTAGATGAATAGTACAGGAGCCAGAGGATAACCATTCCTTTTGTGTTTACTTCCAGGGTCTGGGGAAGATGACCACTCTCACACGGCAGGACCTTAACTTTGGGCAAGGTAATGTGTTGTACTAAGCTGCAACTGGTGTCCTTGTGAGGCTCCTCTTGGGTACTGAGCTTGGGGGAGTGTTGTAGGGTTGCTCTGTCCCTAAACTTTCTGCAGCTAAGAGGAGGCAGGTGAAACTTATGCAGAAAAAAATATCCTGTAACAAAAGGTCCCCTGAGTCTATGGTATTGCTCTACTTTCCCACACCCTATTCCAGCATCCTTTACTTCTGTTTTTCAGTTGTTGCAGATGTTCTTTCAGAATTCCTGGAAGTGGCTGTTCACCTCATCTTGTATGTCAGAGAAGTTTACCCGATTGGGATCTTTCAGAAGAGGAAAAAATACAATGTACCTGTCCAGGTAGGAGCTTTTCCTGGAAGAATCCTAGCAAGGATCAATCAACACTCACAGAACAAATTTACACACTGGAAGTGACTGTTTAATGTAGAGACTTTTTTGAGGAGAGCTTAGTTCCTGTGATAAGAGGAGCAGCCCCGTAGCTGAGGATACAGCAAGTGCTCAAGGGACAAGCAGGTCATGGATAACAGCAGTAGAAGGCTGCCCCAGCTCTGTGCAGTGAGGCAACAGGAAAGCATGTTTACTGGGAAGTAGAGGTGGTTGGAATATGCTATTCCAAATATGCTTTTCTGGCATACATTCCAGATATACAACAACTGTATTAGTGCAGTGATCTGCCTCAGCTGATTAACCCTTCGCTGAAAGAATTGCTGATTTGAATGGGCAACTCAGCCTTTTTCAGCACTATTTGAAGCATGACTTGAAACCCTTGGTGCTTCTGTTTAAATCTTCCCTTTTAGCATTGTCCTGGCTCATGTCAAACACAGCTGTGACTCTTCCCTGTGTTTGCTACAGATGTCCTGCCACCCAGAGCTGAACCAGTACATCCAGGACACGCTGCACTGTGTAAAGCCGCTGCTGGAGAAGGTGAGCTCAGACCAGGGACCTGGGCAAAGGTACTGCAAATGGATTTAACAGAAAGTAAGAGAACATAAATATTATCTGAACTGCAACATGTTTACAAATTTACCATACACAATATACTAGCTGATAAAAGTTCCTGACAGAACTAAAAGCATCATAACCTTTCCTGGCAGTTAAGACCCCACCTTCCTTGTCTCATATACCACACAAGGACACATGTCTGTATATTTCCAGTTACATCATCCTACCATTCTGCTTTACAATCCGAGTTTAAGCACCTGCTGTGCCAGAACAGCTTGAATGCTTTGCTGTGAACCTGGAAGCAAAGGTAGGCCTGGACTCCAGGTATTGCAAGAGAAGGGTGTGACCAATGAAACATTCCAGGAGGCTGCTGGCAGGTTTTGTATGCCTTGCTCTTTACAGATAATTTTAATGCACATGTAGAAAATGCAATTAGGTCTGTTTTAAATTGCATTTGTACAAAGCTGCTCTGTTTGGGCAATAGTCTGAATGTGTCTTAACTTCATCAGCGTCCATCCCAGAATGATGCAGTGAGATGGGTGTGCACTTCCTCCTTTGTTCCAAAACAGGATCTAGAGGAACGTACAATTTAGCACACTTCATCTCCCTCAGCCTTGGCCGCAGCTTAATGCCCAACAAGAAATGGCTTTGCAAAAGCATTTTTTTCTGATTGCTAAGAATAATCTGAAGTCAGGTTTTGTGTAATGGCTTGTCCTGTGAGCCCCAACAAGTGGGTGTACTCCACTGCATCAAAGAATGTGGAGTACACTGTGGGCAGCAGACAGCTCACATTAAGGAAGGGATTTTTCTGTCTTGGTTCCTGCAGAACGATGTGGAGAAAGTTGTGGTTGTAATTCTGGATAAAGAGCACCACCCCGTGGAGAGATTTGTCTTTGAGATCACCCAGCCACCTCTTCTTTCCATTAGGTGAGGTTTCCACTCCTGTTTGCCCATGGCATCCAACACCCAGTTCTGGGAGCAACTTCAGGCCTTTGCTGCATGCCAGTAACAACAGTAACAACTGCTGTCTCCTCCACAGCTCTGAGTCCCTGCTGTCCCACGTGGAGCAGCTACTGCGTGCCTTCATCCTAAAAATCAGCGTGTGTGATGCTGTGCTGGACAACAACCCCCCAGGTAAATGTCACTTGGATCCAAACAGCCTAATGCCTGGCATTGGTTGGCTTGGCTGATGCTCTGGGAGCTGTGCTCTGAGCTGGAACCTGACACTTCTCTTAGGTTGCACCTTCACAGTTCTGGTTCACACACGGGAGGCTGCCACACGCAACATGGAAAAGATCCAGGTGATAAAGGTGAGTGATATCCTTGGGCACCTGATTGTGTGTGAGAAGCTGCATAGCAAAGACTGGGCAGTGCAGAGTTTTGGCATCTTTAAGGTTAAGGCTGAGAGATACCTTGAACATGCAGGTTGGTGTCATATGAGGCACATTGTAACTGTATTTGAAATGTGGTGAAATGGTTTATGCTGGTGAGCTGACAGCACATTTGCAACACACAATAGATTTTTACAATACTCACTGTCCAGTGCTTGCTCAGACACTTGGAAATACTCAGGCGTGTAGAATAGGTACTTGAAGTTAATTAAGCAAAAAAGCAGCCCTTGCCCACCATCCACTGTGTGGTGGCTGACTTTGTATAAAGATCAAGAAAGACTAAGATTAAAGCAATGAGTAGGTTTGGGGTCACAAATACATTGTATCTTACAGGAAACTGTGCAGAACACTTTCTAAAGGAATATTATTTTAAAATAATCCTCACTTAGATACAGGGAAACTTTTTTTCCTGAGTCATTTTAGGTGTCCAAAGGCACAACAAATAAAACTAGCAAAGTATAAACTTGTTTCAAAAGAAAGTCTGTTCTGCACTGGCTAGTAATGGAAACTTGTGGTGTAGTAGACCCACCTTTAGATTTCCAAGGCAGGGTGGAAACCCATGCCCAAAGCATGCTGGAGTTGCAGTTAAGAACTGGGTATGGTAGCTCAGGACAGCTGAGAGTGTATCTTTTAAAGAAGTGAGATGTCACCTTTGCAGTAAGTGAAGTGGGTTGACCTCACAGTTTGCCACTGTAACTGAAGACAATTATGCTGAGCATCAGGGACAAGCATGTAAGTGTTAAATTCTGTTGTTGTGGAAGGTTTGAATTGCCAGTTCCTTTCCTCAGCCACTCTGTGTCTTTTTCAACTTAACACAAAACAAGTGCTTAGGAGGAGCTCACCTTACAGCACTGCTGGGTTCTGCCAGTAACACCTTGTGTTCCTGCCCCCAGGATTTCCCTTGGATCCTCGCTGACGAGCAAGATGTGCATATGCATGACCCCCGGCTCATTCCCCTGAAAACCATGACATCTGACATCTTAAAGGTGAGCAGAGCATTCTGACCAAGAGGTGCTGAACCTGTTGTGGTTGTGAACTATGAATGCGCTGACATCAGCTCTGCAGTTTTCTGAAGAGACTTTAAAACATACTGCTGAGCAGTAGCTTAAGTCTTGCAGATGTCTCTGCCAGTAATCAAAGCAGGGCAAGATCCCTCATAGTAAAATAGGAAACCTAGTTATGGGGGAAGATATAAGCACTTCCTATTCAGCCTGTTGCAGGCTTTTTTTTCCATTCACCTACCTGTATACCAACAGGACTGTTGCTTGTTTCTTTCTCCAGATGCAGCTCTATGTAGAGGAGCGAGCTCACAAAGGCACCTGATTTCATATCTTCCTTGCCTTCAAGCTTCATCTCATCTTCCAGTGGAGTAAGATCTGTCACACACTTGATCTTGATAACCATCTCTTCAGCTGGTCTTCTGGGTGAATGTAGAGCAGCTGCTGCCTCTTTATTTCAAGTGCTCTTACCACTGTATAAAGAACTGACTTGGAATGGGGAGCCAGAGCCTGTTCCCATCTTGACTTGTGTGAGAGTACAGGTGTTGATACAGTGCATCCCTGGGGAGTCAGTGCTTTATTGCCAGTCCAGTTCTCACCTGAAAGGACAGCTCCATTGCACACAGGCAGTGACAGCTAGGAGCTGTCACACAATCCATGAGAGCAACATTTGTGCTAAGGGGGAGCGAGGCCTTATGTACTGTCTGTCCACTGTGACCATCCCAACTAGTCTTCAATAAATACCAAGTTTTACCCCAGTTGAACTGGGCTGAGTTCTGTCAAAACCAGGCTCCCTTCTTCAGTGAGGAAGTATTTTTATCTGTGGTGCTTCCAGCACTTTTCTGTGGAGCTTCCAGCACTTTTCCACTGCTTTTCCACCACTGTGTCAATTCCCATGAAAGGCTCTACAACCTTGGTCTCTCCCCTTTCACTCAGAGGTAGCATTAGCCATGTGGAATTTGTCTGTCCAGCAAGGACACCTGCCAAGTATCCTACTCCTAACTGAGAATAGGCAAGGAAAGCACAGTTTATCCTACACCTGTCAGAGGAGATGGAACATGACCTTAACATTAGCTCTGGGTATATAAGGGTGGGAGACACAGTTCAAACAAGCTGAGCTTGTTTGTCAGAGAATTTGGTACACTAGCCTGTCCAGCACATCCTGCTTCCTCCAAGTAGCAAGTGTAGGAACATTATAGATCAAGTCTGGGCACTGCTTTAACATTTTATATTGGGTTACACTGCTCAGTATAAACCAAAGGTGATGTGGGAAAAGCCCAGCACAATCAAAAGGCACTTGTGTTATTAGGCAGCTGCCTGAAGGGACTTCTTACCTCCTCTTTCTCTACCTGTTTATTCAATCACCAAGGGACTGTTTTGGATAGGAAGGCAGGTACCATTTTGATGATACACACTTAGAGAAAGGGTAAGGAATTCACTACCAGTGACACAGCACTTAGGAACAAGGGGTGACAGTTTCCTGATGCTATAAAGGGTCTGATGCAGATCATAAATCTTAACTGAATCTTAAAACTGAAACAGGAAAGAAACTACTGTACAAAACAATCTGTGGCAGAGTCCTTGTAGATACCATTGGTAATCTGAAATTAAGTATTTTAGCCTTATCTTTCCTGTGTTTCATAAAAAAGAAATTGTCTTTAAGACCATGTATGTTAGCATAAGAATGTATTAACTAGAAAAGATAGACCTCATATTTAATTGTCCCAGTTTTTCTCTGAAAGGGCACCAATAATTGGAATAGCATCCATGGTAGAAGAGAATGGAAGATGAAGACAACGCCCTTCCAAAGGGCTGGTTCTGCTGAAGTTCTGCTGTGAACAAGAGCTGCAAGACAAAGCTAGGACACACCCAGACAGTACAGACAAACAGTGCACCTGCAGCCACTTGGTTCCAGTCCTGAGGTAAAAGCAAGCACAGTGCTTTTCCGTAGTGCTTCACAACGATGTCAGGGGCCCAATGGTGATGCTGCTGTTTGTCACACGGACCCCGTACCATCCTGCCCAGAACTGCGTGTCCTGGCCTCCGTGCTGAAACAAGATGTAACGAACTCCTGCTGGGTAATTCCGGAAGGTGTGAGAAATCTGGACAGAAAAGAGAATTCCTCTTAATTTGCCTAAATAAACCAGTGCATCTCTAGAAGCTCAGAAAACTACAGTATGTGAGTCTTAGAATGAGCTCTTCCTGAGCCTAGATAGCTTTCACTGAAAGGGAGGAGCAGGTGGCAGGGGGAGGAAAGAAGCCTTTCTCATTCAGCCTTTGCCCCAAAATCCTGAGTTAAGCTAACATTTAAGTGCATGTATAAGTAACATCTAATGCAGAATGTACAGCAAATCAAACCAGTTAAACATCTGTAACAGTTTAAGAAAAGTTAAGTCCGCAATACTTGGCTATCCATGCAGTAGTTTTAAAACAGTTTTTTGATCAAAAAAACCCTGAAATCTTCTTGTTATTTAATTATTTAGACAGAATCTTACATAAAACCAAGAAACTATTAAAAAGACTGCACTAAAACAACACAGAAGCCCACATGATACCCTATAGAAAATGCTGGGCACCTAAAAATAGTACCCGTCTCATTCAGGACACTACTGCTTCTTCAGCATCATCAATAGCAAGGACTGACTCACCTCTATAGAGCAGAGGAAGCTGAAGAGCAGAGAAAATCCCCTGGCACTTTTGGCCAGGTAAGACTTGGAACACACAAGTGTCACAAACTGCTGTAAAGCTCCTGCCTCCCTGGCTGCTGCTCACCTCTCTCCACCTGGCATCACTCCACTGCTCAATGACCACAGGCTCAGGATGGAATTCCACCAGGACGATGTAATCTTCGGAGAGCAGCCTCACGATGAGCTCGTAGCGGCACCCGCAATCAAACCTGGCAGCGTACCTGGAGAGGCAGGAGGAATCAAGGAGCATTCAGTTTGCTTTATTTTTCAAAAGCAGTCTCCAAGGTCATCCCTGTCTGCAGAGGAAAAGGAGTGGAGTGTCATCCCCATAGCTATAGAGAAGTTTTAGAACTTACAGCTATCCCACCCTTCACAGGATTGCCACTGTGTAGTCCATTGAGGGAGTTTAGATTTAGCTTATTCTTCATTCAAGAACTACAACTCCCAAAGAATAAAGAGCTGATTTTATTACATGAAAAGTTCCAGAAGCCTAGCTTACCTCTAGACCGATGCCAGAAATTCTAATTTTCAGTGTGCACTCACCAGTCCTTGACTGTAATTTCAGGCCGTTTCTCATCCATCAGCTGATTCCAATAGCCTTCCTTCTCCAGGGTAATGAGTTGAGACTTGAAGCATGGCCTGAAACAGACATAGAAATATTCACAGTACTGCAGAACACATTTCTTCCTTGCTGTCCTTTCCCTGACACCTTTAATACCCACCCAGATCCTGAAGGCCCACAAAGCTGACCTGGCTAAACCCTGCCTTATCCATAGCCAGAACCTGACAAGAAAAGGATCTGAATTAGCTTCATCCCAAGATAAAAAGAATAGTCACCTACAAGCTGGATTAAGAAGGGTCTCTATTATGTATTGGTAACAGGAAACCAGTGCCTAGTGCTTGTAAAAGCTGTTGATCCTCCTCTGGTGACAGCTTTCATTACAAGTTGTTAGTGTGACACACCTACCACTCCTGAAGGTTACAGAGCTTTGATCGTGTCATGTAAGTACAGTTTGATTGAGTTTGCCAGACCATTAACCTTTTTACCACCTTTGGGGAGAGGAGAAGCAGGGATCCCATGTGGACTATTCTAACTATAAAAATTACAGGAAGTTCCTGGTAGGCAGAGAAATTTAGTACCTGCTGTGATCAATTCTCTCAGTACCCATCTCTTTAGATTAACTGGCATAAAGGGTTAATGAAGCTCCTTCCTTTTCCCACAGGTGATCTAAGGTTCAGTAATCTGCCACCAGCCTTCTAACCATGGTGCCTTTTCAGACAGATGTGAGGAAGCAGGTTTCCCAGTTCCAGATTACTGGAATCCAGTTCTTACCTATATGAAGTGACAAAGTATTTGCGTACTGCGGTGTCTGGCATATCATTTCCATGAGCTCCAGGCAGATCCTCAATTTTCCACCTATTTCCGTCATTCTTGTCAAGTGTCCAGTGCTGGAAGTTCTCTAAAAACACAGGTGTACAGGTGAGGGTTAGGACCTCACTTCAGCTACCACCAGGATCTCAGCTTTTGTTAGAATCATCAACAGGAGAATTCTAGGAAACTACCTGATGTTTTCAGATCCACTTTATTTTTCTTACAGCTGTGACTCTTGTCATTATGCTGCCATTACCTTTATGTGGCTGCCAGCATCTAGGACAGCAGGCCGCAGATTTCTGACCTCATCAGAAATTCAGCAGCAGCAATAAAGTACGATTACTGTAGTTCTAGTAGTCAAGTCTTTGCTAACGAAAGTCCTCCAGCTGCCCAAATGTTTAATCCCAATACCTGATCGTTTCACTGCCACATTTTACTTGCAGTGCAAATTAATTCTCACTGCCTGCTGTACTGGGGCCTTTTGACTCCAGATTTTTCTGTCTAAAACCACAAAGTATTGGTAAATACATACCTATCTACCTATAGCAGTTCTATTGTAGGAGCTGAGCAACGAATCTAACCTAGCAGAGCTACAGCCAATAGCTCGGCAGTCCCACAGCACTGGCAGTAGTTGACGCATGCAGGACACTGACTCATTCGGACTGCTCGGAAACTCTTAGTCCTTTATTATAAGAAACGAAACAAACCTTCAGCACAAGGGTTTTTGATTAAGTTTCTCTTCAAGTGGCAGAGCATATAGAAGATCTTCCAGTCAGAGACGCTTCTGTCCAAGCTCTGACGATAAAACCCATCGCGCTGGCACTTGCGCTTCCACAGGGTGGTCAGGTCCACCACGTAGCGCCACTGCGTGCACACCAGCCGGCAGGTGCGGAGCAGGTCCCGGGCGGGCAGCAGCGACAGCAGCTCCACCAGCACGTCCTCGGGGAGGTCGGCGATGCTCGTCATGGCAGTCCGCGGGCCGCAGGAGCGCCACGGGAGATCCCCGGCACCGCGGCCCGAGCTGCCGCGACCAAAGGCGGTTTGCTCTCGTGACTAACAGACCCGGGACGGCCCGCCCGGCTCCGGGCCCGCTCCCCGCCGTAACCCCCGGCCCCGGCCCCGGCCCCGGCCCCGGCCCCACCTGGCTCCGCCCAACCCGCCGCCGGACGCGGATGTGCGGGGCCGCGGGGCGGGGTTGCGGGGCGGGACGGGGCTCGGCTCGGTTCCTCCCCTCCCCTCCCCTCCCCTCCCCTCCCCTCCCCTCCCATCCCCTTCCCTCCCCTCGGAGCGGCTCCGGCCCGCCCGCGCAGCAGCGGCTCAGGTAAGAGCGATTAATGCCTCCCCTGGATCCCTGCGGGATTCCCGGCGTGTCTCCAGGGACAGAGGAGGGACACGCGTGTGCCCCGAGCACGTCAAGGGATGGGAGCGTGCCCGTGATGCAAAGCCCTTCACGGTTTGGATGCTTCACTGGGGTGGGAAAGTGCGGAGGGAGCCTGGCTAACAGCGCTCTAGCAGCAGGCAGGGAGCAGGAGAGGCTTCTGAAATTCCTGTACGAGATGAAACCAGCATGGCCCCTCCCTCCTACTTCTAAAAGATTACATTTTGTCCTTCGGGACTATGTTTGAGGGTTGGAATTGTGGGGAGAATGAGAAATCACTAATGCTGTCTCCATAAAAGCCAGGGAGTTTTAAATTACAGTTTGCCCCTGCTGAGTGCAGTGCAGTTAGAGGATACAGCTGAACGTCTAGATTTAGGATGCTGCTACAGCAGTGATTCCCAGTTTCTTCCCTTCCTTGCCAGGTTTGTCACCGCTGTATTTTGTTTAGTTGCATGCCAGGGTATTTCACCTCTGTATTTTGTTTAGTTGCATGCCAGGGTATTTCACCTCTATTTTCACCTCTGTATTTTGTTTAGTTGCATGTCAGGGTATTTCACCTCTGTTCTTACCTGTCCCAAGCTTAATGAGTCATTCCTGAGGAGTTTGGCTGCATCCATTTGGTTTGCTGCAATCTCAGCAGCTCCCCAGCACCAGGACCCAGCTGACATAAAAGCAGTGTCACGGTGCATCCCTCACGGATGATGTGGGCTCTGAATCTGCACACTCATCTTTCCACAGTCCTGCAGCACCTGGACCTGAACCTCAGGGCAGCAGAGAGCTGTTTGGAGTTCAGAATTAGCACATGAAGTTAGAGCAAACACTTCTGATTTAATTCCTCCAGTTATGAGGCCACAGGCAATAGAATATTAGAGAATATCAGCTGAGTTATTTTCAGTTATGCTCAGACCATTACTTTATACAGGCTCTTGACTAAGTCAATTAAGTGCCAGCACTCTGAGGGAAAGACTGTCAGATATAGAATGAACCACTGCAAAGGTGGCTGGCAAGAAACTTAAAATGGATATTTGAGCACTGCTTTGCAGCATTTGCTATCAGGGATGTTCTTAAAGGCAGAACAAATACCCATGTGCCCTCCTCTGCAGGGGAAATCATTATTAGGAAGCTGATTTTTGCAGCAGCAGAGATTCTGGAAGGACTGATTCCAGTCTGGAAAATGAACAAACTCAGTTGTCAAATACATACATTTTGTGGGCAGATTTAATTCAGGGCTTTTACTCAGAATATAAAAATAGTCATCTGCTTCCGGATATTAATGTAATAAGGAACAGGAGACCCTGAGGCTAGCAATCAAAATCATGCCTTCAGAGAACATATTTATTTTCCCATTTTTTCTACTGTATCAATGTCTTACATTGCTGAGGGTGGGAAACCCTCACCATTCCTTTCCACCCTCTCAGACAGCTCTGCCCAGCCAGCCTCAGGATGGAGTCCCTCCCTGAAGCAGTCCTGATCCGAATCCTGGCTTCCCTCCCCGCGGTGGATCTGGTGCTGGTGTGCCGCCTGGTCTGCTGCCAGTGGAAGAACCTGGTTGATGGAGCTGCACTCTGGATCCTGAAGTGTCAGCAGGAAGGCCTCACCAGAGCAGAGTCAGATACAGAGAACTGGCAAAGCTTCTACTTCCTGAGTAAGAAAAGGAAGAATCTCATCAAGAACCCATGTGGTGAAGGTGAGAGACACCACAACAAGCTTCAAGGTGTCAGAGAAATGACCAGTCACTGAGAATTGTGTATGTCTAGTCTTTGAAAATAGATCTTAGTTGCTGTCAGATTGCAGAATTTTCTCCCAAGAGTCAAGTCACTTAATCCATGGTTGAGTGACTTGACTCTTGGGAGAAAATTGCAGGTTGCAGAATTTTTTCTGCAGGTTGCAGAATTTTCTCCCAAGATTCAAGTCACTCAATCCGTGTAGCCAAATCATTTAATGAGCACAAAGGCATTTGATAATCAGCCTTTGCAAAGGGCTTTACATAACATTATTTTTATCTAACCTCTGCAAGGGTCTAAATCATGTTTGAGACACAAAGATGTCCTTTGTAGAAAGCATCCAACACAGTAATGGCTGTGGCATTTGTTTCTGTATTGCTTCTTGCTAAGCCATGACAGGAGAGATGAAGCCTTTCCCAGCTCACCAAGCCCTTCAGGCTTCTTTCCGTGGAGCAGCTCAGGTCAATCATTTTTTACCCTCCTCACCACAGCCCATGTTAGAGACTGGGCACACACCTCATGTGCCATTATTCTGAATCTGTGACCTTTGCTTGCCAGAGCTACAAGCTGCACAGCAATAAGTAGCAGTAACCAAGCATCACAATCCAAGCAGCAACAATTTCACACATCACAGACCAAAACAGTATCAACACAGCTTTCCCATTTTGTTTAAAAGTAACCTTATGCAAGCATTTCCAGCATCCAGGTTTCCCTCTCAAAACCCCTGATGTTTAAGGTCTTACTGCTTCAGAAAAATACCACTTAGTACTTTAGAAAACTTAGAAATAATCAGCTTCTGTCCCCAGAGTCTTTGTGTGCTGTGACACTGAAAATGGTGACACTGTTCAGAATACCTAAATTCTTTCCCTGGAGTACTTTCTTAAACCCACACGTACACAGCCACTTTGCTGGGGAATGTTAAAGTTTGGTGTTAAATGTTAATGTTAAAGTTAGGCTCAGTCAGACTAAAGGTTTAGCCTGACCTCTCCTTAACAAACATATCCATAGTCTACATATGAAATCAGTGCTGTGTCTCCTATCAAACTTTCACAAGCCAGAGGAAGGTTCCAGTGGGAGATGGTCAAGTTCCCCATATGCACAGGACTCATCCAAGTCTCTTTTCTGCCATTTGCAGAAGACTTGGAGCACTGGGGAGAGGTAGAGAATGGAGGTGATGGCTGGAAAATTGAAGACCTCCCTGGGGACTTTGGAAAAGAATTTCCTAGTGAAGAAGTCCATAAATACTTTGTTACATCTTATGAGTAAGGCTGCTTTCTTCTCTTACTCAGGAAAGGGGGCATTTCTGGTTCTCCCAGTCCAGGAGAGACTGTGATACCAATTAGCATCTCGTGTTTCAGGTGGTGTCGAAAGGCTCAGGTCATTGACCTTAGGGCTGAGGGCTACTGGGAAGAGCTGATGGATACAACCCAACCTAAAATCATGGTAAGAGACTGGTAAGTATTAAGGAAGGCTCTGAGGACAGGCAGAGGGTTAAGAAAGATAAGGAAGAGCAGGGAGGGCATAGACCTTATATATATATTGGGTCTTAAAATCCTCAGCTGCTGGGATTCTGGATGTGGGACAGGGCTCATAGGCAGCTCCCACAGGCTTTAAACTGTTGAAGCCATGAACCCAGGTTCCTGTGGTTGGTGAGGGGAGGTGGTGGGCTGGGCTAGGAACCATTGCAGATTTCCATGTCAAAGCAAGGCTGCAGTAACTTGGTGAGCATGGTGGAACCTTTGCAGAGCTCTTACAATGCCAACAGCTTGGATCTCCTTGTAGGTATGCAGGACGTAGTGATGCTGGCTGCCTCTATGAGCTGTGTGTGAAGCTGCTCTCTGAGAATGAGGATGTGCTGGCTGAGTACAAAAGTGAGACTATCACCATCCCACAAGAAAATGATGCCAACTGGACTGAGGTGAGTTACAGGTATGGGCTCAGCAGGTGACACCCAACCTATGTGAATCAGGAATATTTTTAAGCAGAAGAATTCTCCAAGGGGAGGCAAAGCCTCTGTCACGTGTTCTCTGGAGCCATGACCCTATGATTGAAAAAGGAAAAGGGAGGCTGCTTTACAGGAAACTTGCTGAGTCCCCAGTAGCAGGTGTAAGGTGCAGGAGATGTCAAACTGGGAGTGATGAAACAGCATCAGAACAAGGGGATCAAAGCTTCTCCCAGTGTAAATGTCCCCACTGTTATCCAGCCTGGTGGGTGACTGTGGCCAGTGGGGCTGAAGGCTCTGTGCACTGAACAGCAGTAGGTTTGTGGTGGTTTGACACTTACTAACAACTTTTTTGTCTCTTGTCCCAAAGATCTCCCACACCTTTTCCAGCTACGGGCCTGGAGTGCGTTTTGTCCGCTTTGAGCACGGTGGCCAGGACACGCTGTTCTGGAAGGGGTGGTACGGTGTCCGTGTCACCAACAGCAGTGTGACAGTAGAACCATAGCTGTGCTGAACGGGATCTGCATGCTGGACTTGACTTCCCTCAGGGCATCCCTTAGCCTTTGGATGGTTTCTGCATGGTGCTGCTTCTGGCTATATGGCCTTTCTGCATAGGATCATGTGTGCAAGTGCCAGGAGCCACCACCCATCCTTCCTCAAGAGGACTATGCAAAGAATGTGAATGGATTTGTGAATGCACCACAAGACTCAGCCTCACCACTTGCACTGATGTTTTCTGTCAGACAGGAGATCACCTAAAAATCCTGCAGACCTCCTCTCTCTTAAGTCTCTAATCCCTAGCACCCAGCCTGAGTCAGCTCTGCTGCCTGCTTCCCTGACTTGGGCACTCCTTAACTTAAAGGGATACTTTAAGTCTATTTTCTGGAAGTTAGAGTGGGAAGAAAAGAATGAGAACCACAGACTCTGTGTCTCAAAACATACCAGGGAAACCCAGAGCCCTGTCCCCAGCTGTTTCCATGACCTGCAGTGAGAACCTTGGCTTCTTCCATTTATAAAAAGGTAACATTGTTTGCCTTTTGTTTACCCATTGTTTACAAAGGGACTCTAGCTTGGCTGTCAATACAATTCGTTTAGTTTTTAGTGATAATGCAAAGTAAGAGAGGTTGAATCCTTCTCTCTTACATTGTTCCCAGCATCCATTTATCAAGGGAAGTGTTGAGAAGAGAAACCTGTCTGGTGTCCAGCCCTGGGGCTTCATTTGGCTCCCTCAGAGAGATGGCAGCTGAGAGTAATTGCTGGTGGAGAGAGAGAGGTGATAACCACTTGGGGAACTGGGTTAGAAAAAATTTAGGATCAGAAACAAATGAAAACAAACTCATTTACCCCTTCCTGGCCTCTGCATGCTTCATGCAACAAGCATCCTGGTCATCCAGTGTGACTCTGCTAGCAGGACACAGAAAGCTGTTGACCTCACTCCACCTCTACTGACCATGTCTGCAAGAAGTACAGATCTGCCTCTGCCGTGTGCTTGCTGACAAGGCAGCACCTCAGTGTCCCACCTGAGCTTCTTGATGTCACTCAGGGCTGTGTGCCCCATCCTGAACAGACCTTCTAAACTTTCCTGAGCCAAGACTGTTCCTGCTAGTTATTCCACCCAGAAGAGCATCCCCTAACAGAGCTGTTGTTGCCTAAAGAAAGCATTTATATTTTTGTGTCCATGTGTTTGTCTTCCCTCCCTGGGCTGCCATTTAAGTGCCCCCTTACATGTGTAGTGACTGCTACTGCCTGCAGCTAAAGGAAGGAGCTTCCCACCTGGACACTGTGCATGCTGCTTCCTCAGGCTTTCTGCACAACTGCACCCGGGTGCCACACACACGCCAGAGTCCAGGCAAACTTAATAAAGTGACACAACTGTGTGTGGATTTCCTCTTTTGTACTGGGTGTTTGTCCCCTGTGCTCAAGCATCCATCTTCTGATTAAGTGGAGCGTGTCAGGCAGGTCTCTCCAAAGGCAGGAGTTCCTGTACTGTGGGTAACACCACGGGTGTCCCTGAGAGAGGCAGGTGCTGTTCCCCAGCACCTTGGAGCCATGGGAAGCACTTAATGTGCAATGGGTCTGCAGTGTAACAGCAAGCAGAAGTGCACTTTGAACATAGTGGGAATTCATTCAAGGCACAGAGAAGGTACAGGAAGGC